TATTGTATATAAATCTAATGAATTTACACTACAATCAACGGAGAGAGAATTTAAAAAATAAAATTACAAAATAATAAACAAAATTATCACAAACAATAACAGCACAGAAAGTATGAGAATCGCGGCCCACTGTCGCTTATCTGCAAGGAGAGAGAGAGAGACAGAAGGTAGTGAACTATTAATTAAAGAACAAGTACCCGAGAGTAGTCTGATGAGTTTTTGGACTAACAGCTATTTCATTGAGTGAAATGAATATTTTTTAGACAGTCGCAACCCTCGTGGTTCGCTGTCGCAATAATTACCGTTATTCATGTGCAAAACTTTGGCAACTTTCTTCATAGTTGTGTCGAGCTTTGATTCGGTCGTATCGAACTCATTACCAAAATCGTCCAACATGACCGCTTGCTCATCCAATTCGACGCCAATTTGACGGGAAACAGTCTTAAGGGTGCCAATGGAATCACTGATCATGTCCAGCTGCTCGTCCTGACCCTGGATCATGCGCTGCTGTATGGACACCGTCTCACCGACATATCGATGGCCCGGACTATCCAGATTGCCGCCGTAATGACTGGGACTATCTATATCCAGAGCATTCTCCAGTTTCGAGTATTTGGTACCACTGTGCCGAGTGGCAGCCGCCGCCGCTGCCGTTGCCGCCGACATTGTTCCAGCTATAGTATTGGCCACGGATTGCGTATTGGGACAGTCGACCAGATAGGTGCGATCGTTGTGCGAGTGATAATCGTTGCTCTGATTGTGATTGAGGCTGGGATTGCGTTCGTTCTCGAGCAGTGGCTGATGTGCGGTTATATCTCTGTCCCTGTTCCGGTTCAGGCTCATCTTATCCTTCATCTGCTTGACCTCATCCCGAGTGTTGTCTATGAAGTGTCGCCGACTGGAGAGTTCACGATTATCGATGCGAAATTTCGTAGGATTTTTCTCAACAATGCGTACTAAGAGAGAAACAGGGAGAGTTAAGGAATTGCAAGAGAGAAGAGAGTGGAATATTCTTTGATTTGTTTTGGCAAAAGGATATTGATTGTGTCCTCCAGATCCTCGAGGTCCCATTCAATACTGCGCAGCGAATTACGCAGCTCCGTCGTGGTCCATTCAACCTCGGCGCCTCCGTTCTCGCCCAGCTCGCGCCAACGCAGGTAAAGGCCGCGTGTCTTGTTCAGCGCTTTGAAAACCTCGCTGCAAATACAAAAACAAGGCAGTGGGACAAAGAGAGGGGATGGGTGGAGAAGGAAGATTCAGAGAGGACGTGAGGGGTAGGGGAACAGGGTTGCATCAGAATTTGATTGTATGTGTGTTGGCATTGCGATGTTGTGAAATGCATACTCCTTGACTACAAAAAACGGATCCTCCAGCGACATGACCCACGCGCGCTCTCCTCACGTTTTCCGGTTTGCGTTCAAATGAAATTTTACAGTTAGCCGTAACGATACACTTGGCTTTTATATTCATGGGATTTTCGTTATTTTCTATTTGGTACCCCACTCTCACAAAGAGGGTGCGAGCGAGAGAGCAGCAACCCTCTTCGTTTTCGTTTTTGTTGGTAAGAAAATATATGAGAGTTTGCAAATGTTTTCGTTTCGTTATTTCTTTTTTACGACGTAAATGTAAAGGGGATGTTTCAAGTAGCACGAATTACAGTGTATAACAATTTTGATCTAATCTACGATTACTTTTTTGGAAGTTTTTATTTTTCGAACAGCACGTTTATTGATTATTGCACATTGCCGTGTTATCTTCTTGTTGCTGTATCTCTGTATGTGTGTCGGTGTGTTGGCCTGTGTAGGCGAGGGGGCGTGGATACGAGAGACCGCGCTCGCGGCCAGGCTATTGCGATAGCCAGAAGTAAACTGACATTATAGCAGAGCAAAAGGAGTCTAAAGGTGGAAGGCACACTTGTTTATGCCGCTCCAGCGTCTGCGCACTGCTCGATTGGCCACAATCGAGATAGCAGCAGTTGCTAACACAGCTAGTCCCTCGATACTCTATTGTTTATTAACTAAAGCTAATGCGTTGATAAACCATAACAAATAGCAATTAGTCGCTTCTTCTTCTTTGCCTGTTTAAATGTACTGGCATTTAACCGTAAGTAACCGGGAACAAACCCTCTCTTTCTTGGCCTCTCTCCCACGGCTCTCTCGGTTGAGAGTGCAACAACTCATCACGAATACCCATCGTTCTTCTTCTTTCACTGTTCAGCTGAGTTTACACTAAACCGTAAGTATAGTTATGCGCTCTCTGACTCTAACTCTCTCTTTCTTTCGCCCTAGTTTTACTCACTGACTAACTCTTTAGTTGTTTGTGTTTGGGCTCATTTAACAACTGTGGTTTTAATCGCAAATTCAATTCGTAGCTCTGAATCTCACTTAAACTCACCTGCTTCACGTTGCCTCCTCATTAAGTAAATTTGTATTCACAGCCGTCTGGGCTTAGACTCTAATTTATTTTATATTTTGCCAAAAATTTTACTACAGCTGTGCCCGAGCCTATTTGTTGTGGCCACCTGTGTGGTCCTTTTGCGCACTGTTAACGCAAACATGAGCAACGCAATCGGGAGCAATGTAATCTATCACACACTGTAATTTTTAGTATTTAAAAACTCGATAGCCCCGGTCACACAGTTTGTCCGTTGATCTGTTATTGTAAAGCAGCGTTTAAATAACGGAGCGAATCGTTCAATAAAATAAATTCAATAAGGATTAAAATGCTGCAAAATGATGCAGTGCGCACATTGCAATATGATAGCGAAATACGTGTGGCTCAAACAAGCACGGCTAACGAACCAAGAGGTAATGTTTTGGTTTAGCACATTTAAAATCAAATATCCAATTGGAATGCTAATGATTCATGTTTAATATTTCTTATTAGTAACTGATAATTTCTGCTAGTTGTATGTTACAATTGGATTATTAGGTCTGCTGTCTGCCTGTATTTGTGTTTTAGTGTGTGTGTCAGCAGGTACAAGCTGGCCGTATCTTATCAGCAACTGTTTCTGTTTTGGTTTTATGAACGCCTTATCAACATTTTCTTTGTTTAGCCCTCTCCAATTGACCAAATGATCGATTTATAAGAATTTCACTAACCCATTTAAGTCAGTGATTTGAAATAAGGGGTTTTTTTGCATTTTCTTGTAATTGCAGTTTTTGATGGACAAATCAGCATAACCTCCCAGCCGCGACCAACAACAGGTGAGTCTTACCTTTCTGTCGCTGGAAATTGTAACTGATCCCTATATATATCATATAAGTTGTTATATTTGCTAGACAATATATATTTTCTATTTGTAATCTACTCTATTGCTGTATTTATACTTTTTGATTAAAATTACGTTCCACTATCTTTGTAGATGCTCCTCGGATACCTTTGCCCATTTCAACAGTTGCTGGCAGTCGCACCTTTATACCCCTGGCTGGCTACGATTGCCTCGCCGATTTGCCGTCTGTGCACATCGAGCAGACTTTTGAGTTGAACGATTGTGAGTGAGATGAGTTTATCGTTGATCTCTTGGCTAGTCTACTTAAATTCTCTTCAGCTCTCACAGCTGTCTCGTCGGAGAATCGTTATGTGGTTCGCTCGCCCCTGGGCGAAGCCATCTTCGCCGCCTCCGAGAGCTCCACGCAGAACAATCGCATGATCTGGGGCTCCGGACGGCCCTTCCAGATGCACTTGCTCGACAAGACACATCAGGAGGCTTTGGTGTTCCGCAAGACGCTCGCACTGGGCGCCATTTGCTGCCAGCCCAAGAACTTGGAGATTTGGATTCCGCCAGGCAACGTGCTGGGCCGTGTCGTGCAGTCGCCCACCTTTACGCAGCCCGAGTTCTACATTGAGGATGGCAATACGCATCAGCCAGTCTTTTGTGTCGAAGGACCCGCGAATTCCGGCTTCTGCTGCTATTGTTTGCCCAAGGAATGCTACTTTAAGGTGGGTTTTACTTCCATTTACCAATACTTTTATAATATATATGTACATATTCCTTATTTAGATTCATTCCGGTGGCGATCTGCGCGCTTCTATAGACCACAAATGGGTGGCCAGCAAATCGCAATATACCACAAATATCTATTTTAGCGATCAAAAGCTAACCGCCAAGGAGCGTGCCTTAATACTGGGCTCAGCTTTTCTGCTGGTAAGAAACTCCTCGCTCTCTCTCTCCCTTCTCCTCTTTCCATCTCTAATCTCCTCAATTCGCCTATATTTCAGGAATATATGTACTTTCAAAAACGTTTTTAATACTCACTTGGCTAATGTTGCGGTCACTGCTCGAGTAATTGGAGTTGTTCAACATATTCTTTCTTTCCTTCCTTCTGCCTTTCAACCTGTCAAGATGCCTAATAAAATATGCATAAATATATTATTAATATCACTTAATTTAATTTACTGCTACTGTTTTTATGTTCTCTTAAATTTTTGCTGTACATTCTTCTAAGTCTTTTCTCAAAGTAATTCGTCTGTTTCCTCTAAGAATTCCCTCTAAGTATTTTCTTCCAAGTCTTTAATGCTAGCTGCACTTAGCTGATCATTCACGATTCACTTCCCTTCACTTTACTGCGCTGCACAACTGTCTGCCCCCACCAGGCCTGGACGACTGAAGAAATGCTAAAGCTGGAGCCCTTTATATAGGGCGACTTTCACTCAAAGCCCAAGGCGCGCTCAAATATTGAGCCCGACGCCAGGTAGGGCTCGTTGCAGTCGAACTGTAACCGACCAATGGGAGCACTCTCTCCGCTCTCTACGAACATTCTAGCTACGTATTACTCAAATAGGTATACCAAATCAATGCTGCTGCATATATAGAGAGAACTTAAATGATCTGTAGTTCTTATTCGTCCCTTGCTTGTCTTAGGCAGAGAGACAGAGACAGACGGAGTGCCAGACTGTGAGATTGATTAGGAGACACACATACAAACATAGCTACAGATATACATCTGAATATGATTGAGCATTATAGTTCCCTTTAAAATTAGGACTTCTACATTCTGGCTATTCCCACTCAAAAAAATAAACAATAGAAATTAAAATTTTTCACATTGAATTTTTTATTTTTTTGTGTCATTTTCTTCTTTTGTTTGTAAAGTTTTCATGCTGTTTTTTTTTTTTTGTGTTCTTGTTTTTTGATATATTTTACAATAATGTAATAAATCACTTCATTTTTGTTGTTTGTTTGTTTAACATACATATACATTTAAATATATATATATTGATTTTTGTTTGTTTTTTTTTTTTTTTGTTTTTTGTACAATAATTTGCATTATTTCTAAGTTTCTATAGACTTTATCTGCGTGTAATTAACTAACCTACAAAACTTAATATATATATGACAACATAATTTTCAACTAGAGTTAATCATTTTTGAAACTTTAGTTTTTGTTTTCGCTTTTAACATAATTCACGTTAATAATAAAAAACAAACAATTGAAAAAAGAGTCTCGTGGTCTCGTTGCTTTTTCTTTAAATTTAAAAGTAACACTTTTTTTATTTCAAATAAAAAACTTGTTTATTTCAATTCCAATAATAATTTTTTTTTTTTTTTTAAGTTGTTTTTGAAATAAATTTTTGCTTTTATTTCAAGTAATAAAATTTTGTTTTTTAATTTGAAAACAAATCATATCATTTGTCAACTAAACAAAATATAATGGATTTTTTTCTTTTAAATTTTAAAAATATTTTTTTGTTCACTTCAAAATTAGGAAGAACTTGGTTTTAGTTTGGATAGTTGGGTGTTTTTTTTGTTTTTTGTTTTTTTTTGTTTTATATGTATGTAGGATGGTGGGTGGTTGGGCTAAGCCTTAGAGTAAACTAAATAATATACATAGCTTTAAACATATTTACACAAGAATTTATATTATTTTTTTTATTTTATAGATACGACTCACAGCACTTCAGGAGTTTTGTAACTTTTTTATAGCATTTCGAAAAAGAAATTATAAATTATACATATTTTAATGTATTGTGTATATATATATTGATATTAACTAGGACTAACTGTACATATATGTGTGTATATACTAATCTATATATATGTTTATATATATATATATGTTTGTAAAGTAAGAGTTGAAACAACTTTTTGTCGTAGCTGAGAGTTGACCATGAACTAAACTAAATACTTAAGTTGCAAGCTTCAGTTGCCCTTAGACATAATATATATATATATATGGTATATAGTATATAGTATATCGTACATATGCTTGACTTTTCTATATGTTAACTCACACACACACACATCGAAAAACACACACACTGCTTCAACTTTGAATAAGGACTCAAAATGTCATCTAGAAATGGTTAGATATATTAAAAAGCTTCAAGCTGCTTTAACCTTACTTCTATTAAAGCCGAAAGCTTTCACAATTTCAAACTGTATTGAGATTTCGGTGGTAAAAAAGTAAAACGGAACATTTTTACACTCTAAAGCTTAAGCGTATGAAAGCTTGAACTGCAAGCATCAAGCTGTTGAAAGCTTTTTCTAGTTAAACTAAAACTAAAATGTAAACAAGATTTAGATTAAAACCGAATACAATAAAATGTTCATCAATTTAAAAAACTGAAAACATTCAAATATTTTTTGAAAGTTTTAAAACTGTTTAGCTAATGTTGGCAGCTAAAGCTGTATCAATTAAGCATTGACAGCCCCTAGAAGCTTTCCAGATGCTTCATTGAGGTTTTTACTTAAAAAGTTTTCAACACATTTCCAATTTTTTTTTTTTTTTTATAAGTTTTTGGTTTTTTTTATCAAGACAACATTTTAAGCAGCTTTTCAGCTTGAAAGTTTTTCATGTGAGTGTCCTCCATGTGTGTGTGTGTGTGTGTTTGTTTAGAGTTTTTGTTGTGTGCCCAAATGCGATATGCTTAGACATTTGATATGCGCTCGTTGATGTTTTGGTCATTGCCGCAGCCACTGTGGCTCGCTGATAGGACTTGAATTGGTATCTGATTGGGATTGGAATTGGGAATGGGAGCGGGAGTGAGAGTGAGAGCGGCGTTTGGCATCAAATGGGGCTTGGGCCCCGGTGGCGCCGGCCAGGCGTAGGGCCACACTCAGGTATGCTGCAGCATGTACATATATTGTCAGTTGCTGCCGGCAATGGGCAGAGTCAACTCATTCGTGTTGCTCCTCGCGCGCTTCTCGCTCGTCTCCAGCGGATTGTCGCTCTCGTCGCCGTTGCTGCTGCTGAAGCTGCTGGCGGGCAGGCGGCGCTTCAGGCTCAGCCCGTTGGTCAGGCCGTTCGTCTCGTCCTCGGACATGGAGCTGGCGCGCTGCGGCGTGTTGCCGGCGCTGTCGTTGTCCAGCGAGGCGATGGCCGAGGCCGCGGCGCTGTTCGCCGCGCTGAAGCCGTCCTCCGAGGCGCTGTCCTGGTTGGCAGCTGGCATCTCGCTGCCGCTGCCGCTGCCGCCGCCGCCCACCAGCTGCAGCATGCCCGACGGCGTCGTGTAGCCACTGAGCTTGTTGGGGTCCTTCTCGAGCAGCTTCTGGGCCAGCAGCTTGAGCGAGATCAGCGAGTTCTCGCAGTCGCTCGTATCGATCTCCGTCAGGCTGATGCCCGCCCGCTCGATCTCCGCATACGTGCCGAAGGGCAGCTTCTGCAGGCACTCCAGCTTCTGGACGTGCGTCTTCGAGCGCAGGTGCTTGGCCAGGTGGCCGTGTATGCGAAAGGCAATCTTGCAGTCCGTGCACTCGAACGGGCGCGGATTCGACGTGGTCGGCACGCCGAAGGTGGACGTCATCATCACCTTGTTGCGGTGCGCCTCGGAGCGCTCATGCTTCTGCAGATGGCCCTGCGTGCGGAACGAGATGCTGCACGGCTCGCACTTGAACTTGCGCTCCATGTAGTGGATGTTCATGTGCAGCGTCAGCTGATGCTGCCGCTGGAACGTCTTGCTGCACAGCAGGCACGTGGGGCGCGCATCGCTGGCAATGGGCGGCGGCGGCGCTGGCACCACTCGCCCGGCGTAGCTGCTGCTGCCGCTGGCTGTTGTTGTTGTCGGGGTGGCTGCAGTTGTTGCTGTGGCAGCAGCTGTTGCTGTTGCCGGCTCGCTGCTCGGCTTGTTGTAGCCCTCCTCTGTGGCCAACACCTTGACTATAGCTGTAGCTGTTGCTGAGGCGGCGGCAACAGTTGCCGTTGCTGTTGTCACAATGGGCTTCGTGTTGTTGCTGTTGCTCAGCACGCCCTTGAAGTCGATGGCGTCTGGCTGCTGCACTGCAGCTGGCAAGTTGGCATTGTGCGTGGCTGCAGCAGGAGCAGGAGCAGGAGCAGCAGCTGGGACAGTTGCTGTTGCCTGCTGCTGTCGCTCTTCGGATTGCTTATCCTGGCTGCTCACAGCAATTGCTTTCAACTGTTGCTGCTGCTGCTGCTCCATTTGCTCCTGCTCCTTCTCTAGCTCTCCCAGCTCCGTTGACTCCGGCTCGTGCACCTCGATGCTGGGCAGCTCGTGATATATCAAGCCAACCCTCTGCTGACTGCTGCTCACAATGGGCATGCTGCTGCTGCTGGTAGTGGTGCTGCTGCTGTTGCTGATGCTGCTGCTGGTGGTGGTTGTCGTCAGGTAGCTGCTGCTGTTGTACAAGCTCTGCTTGCGCTTGGCGTTGTGCAGCGCCTGCTCCTTGATGTACGTGTGCAGCAGCACATCCTCGCCCCCGTTCTCGCGCTTCGCCTGCTCCTCCATCTCGGCCGAGATTCGCACCTTGTCCGACACCGAGATCAAAGTCTTCATGAAGCCACACTCGTTGTTGCCCGCACCGAAGATGACATCGCGCATCTGCTGTGCCTGCGACTTGGGCAGTTCCATGGCAGCAACTGTTGCCGCTGCAGCTGCCGCTGATGATGTTGCTGCCGTTGCTGCTGCTCCTGCTGCTGCCGAGGTGATTGGCCTCGGCTTAGTCAAGTCCATTGGCGCACTGCTCTCATCCGTCGGCACTTGGCGCTTGGGCTTCGACTCCTCGGGATTGGAGTAGTATTGCTCCTGCTTCTGGTAGTCAAACGGCGGCTTGGGCGACGTGAAGGAGCACACCTGCCGCTTGGGCTGCGTGGAAGCACCGCCCGCCGAGCCAATGCTGTTCGCTGGACTCGCTGCGGACATGCTAGTCTCCAGCTGCGCGGGATAGGGCGAGACACTCTGCGGTATGGGCGGCGTCATCGACAGCGAGAGCAGGCCGCGCGCAGCCTCATGCTCCTTCAGGCGGGACTTGGATTCGTCTGTGTCTGTAGAGGTGGCAAGAGTCAGTTTTAGTATTAGGATATACAGATAAATATATATATATAGATAGAAATATAGATGGATGATGGCATATGGCGTAAAATAACCAATAGATCTTGTCTATAGAAGAAAGAAATGCGCTATAGATGCAAATGCTCGACTAGGAAATACCCGGAATAGAATATATATACAGATAACGGATTATAGCTAGACAAAATCTGGAGTATGGAAGACACTCCAAGCATTCTCTTGAGCAGTTCATTTAGATGTATCTAGAGCAACCAGTCCCTATATATAGTCTATATATAAATCATAATCCCTAGATTTGCACAGATCTCCAGCCATCAGCCCTGATGTGTGAGTGCCACCTACCGCTGCTCTCCGATTCGTTGTCGCTATAATCATCCGAATCTGCAGAGTCGCCGGCCATGGAGGAAGTGCGTCCGCCAGCCGAGGTCGAGGATTGCTGATCGAACTCCACGTCCACGTCCAGGAATTCGCCATCCGCTGGCATTGGGCCTGGATTGATGCCCAGCTCAATGCATTTCTTGAAGTGCGTCTTCGATTGCATGTGCTTGGTCAGGTTGCCCTTGGTCTTGAAGCTGTAAGAGTGAGAGAGAGAGAGAGAGTTAAACTATTCCTTGAGAGGCAGAGAGAGAGATAGACTCACCTGAAGCTGCAGTGGCTGCAGGTGAACGGACGCACGTCCGTGTGCGTGCGAATGTGCTTCTTCAGCATGGAGGGCTTCTTGCAGCGAATGCCGCACTCGGAGCAGACGTAGCGGCCACGTCCACGTCCGCGTATGTAGGTGTAGTCCTCGTTCGACTCATAGCCGCCCACCAGCAGCTGGCCGGACTCCAGCTTCTTGGCTGCCTCCTCGCTCGCCTTGGCCGCCACATTCGCCTCGCTGAGCGCCCCGATGGCTGGCGCCTGCTTCGCCTGGTGCTGGTAGAACTTGCTCTGGGCGTTGTTCACGGTGGAGCAGCTGCTGATCGTCTGCTGGGAGCCGACGAGCGCGTAGCTGTGCGCATTGGCGCCCGCCTGGACCACCGTGAAGCCCGCGCCGAACATCTTCTGCCTGGAGTCGTAGAGCGACATCACCTGCTTCGGCTTGAGGCCGAGCGGGTGCGGCTGGTTCTCCTCGCACACCTGCCAGACGCTGTACATCGACAGCTTGTGCATGCCGGCCACGTACGAGGGCTGCGGGCAGTTCACTGTGCAGTAGAACATCTTGGTGCTGCACTTGAGGCCCAGGTAGGTGTAGGCGTGGCCGTTCAGGTAGAGCTGCACGCACGACTTGGACGGGCGCGGCGTCTCGGGCGAGATCAGCGGCAGGGTATTCGCAGTCGGGGTGATCCCGTGATGGCGCTTGGGCGTGAACGTGCCCGGCTTGAGCGGGAGACTCGTGGGACGCAGGAATTTCGTCTTACTGGCAACAGTTGATGCAGCTCCAGCTGATGTTGTTGCCGCAGCACTTGATGTTGCTGCTGTCGCTGCTGCTGTTGCTGTTGTCGCTTCGTTTTCTGGCGTTTCCACATGCAGCGGATCGAATATAAAGTGCCGCACCTCCTGCTGCGGCTGCTGCTCCTTCACATTGTCAGCCATGCGCAGGAAATTGAACTTTTGCATGCCCGGGCCGTCGCCAGCAGCAGCAACAGTTGCTGCCAGCTTGCTGCCGCTGTTGCTGCTGTTGCTCTGCCACTGCAGCGCATTGCGCTGGGCGGGCGTCGGCGGCTGTCGGCTGAACTCGCTGGGCAGATTCTGCACGCCCCCGAAGGGCGACAGCGACTTCTTGAAGGGCGGCGCATCGACGGCGGGCGGACGCTGCAGCARCAGCTGTTGCGGCGGCGGCGGTACTGGCAGCAATGTGAGGCTGCTCGGGCCCGGAATGCCCGGCACGTAGGGAATCGCTTTGCCGCTCGACTCGCTCATGGCGGGCAGCGTGAGCGGATTGAAGGCGGTTATCGAGTTGATGGGCGGGAACTGGAAATGCTGCGAGCTATTGTTGCTGTTGCTGTTGCTGATGATGTTGTTGTTGTTGTTGCTGGCATTGAGCAGAAATGCGGGCTTCGGCTTGGGGTCACTCAGTCGGGGCGACATTTCCTGAAAGCTGCCGCCTGACAGCAACGGAGTCCGGATCATCTTGGGGCTCTTGTCCAGCTCGGGGCACTCCGAGATGGGGATCATCGAGCCGCCCGACGAGGTGAAGCGTCTCAAACGCTCCTCCTTGCCCGTGTTGAATCCAGGCAACTCCTGGCTGTTGCCGAACATCAACTGTTGCTGCTGCACGCCCGTTGCTGTTGCTGCTGCTGCTGCTGTTGCTGTTGCCGGGGGCAGCGCAAAGGCGCTGTCGTTGCTCAGCTTCGGCCGCTTCGCCGAGCTCTCGCTGATGATGTTCTCGAGGCGATCCTCGTGCATTTTGGTGATCACGACTTGGGCGTCGGCGGCCTTGCGGGGCGCGGCGTAGTCGACGAGCGGGGTCTTGCCCAGGAGCGGGCCAGGCGAGGGCAAGGGGGCGTCCACGAAGCGCAGGGCAACGTTGTTGGCGTCGATGCTAACGGCAACAGTTGCTGGCAGATTGTGGCTGTTGCTGTTGCCCGCCATCGTTGCTGTTAGATTGCTGATGTTGTTGCTGTACAGGCTGTTGTTGCTGTTGCTGCTAGCAATTGTTGCTGTTGGAGTGCTGCTGCTAGCACTGCTGCCTGCCACAGTGGCTGCCAGATAGTTGCTGCTGCCACCGCTGCTGCCAGCAACCGTTGTCGCCGTCGTGCTGGTCCGCGCCGGCGACTGCGCCGCGCTCAGCCGATTCAGCACCAGGCTGCTCGGCTTCGTCTTGAGCTGGGACCAGGCCAGCTTGGCCAAGGACAGCGGGTTCTTCGAGTTGGCCATGTGCGACTTGAGCTCCGGCAGGCTGAAGGAGATGGAGTTGGAGCGAAAGTACTTGCTGCTGGGCGAGGAGGCGGGGCTGATGGGCGCACTGCTGCTGGCGTCCTGGCAGTAGGTGCTGTTGTGCTGCTTCAGCTCGTCGGCGCTGCGGAACTCGTTGGCGCAGATCGGGCAGGAGTAGACGGCGTCGTCGCCCTCGCCAATGGGCACGGCCAACCCACGCGCGTTGAGCAACAGATTCTTGATAATGGAATTGTTTGCAGCGGCTGTGGCAACAGCTGCTGGCTTGGCAGCAATTGTTGGCGTTGTTGTTGTAGCTGCTGCTGCTGCAGTTGCTGGTGCGGCTGCTGTTGTTGCTGCTGGTGCTGCTGCTGTTGCTGGTGCAGGTGCTGCTGCTGTTGTCGCTGCCTTTGCTGGCTTTGGTTTGGCGGACAGATTTAAGGGCTGCTGCGCGGGCGTCGCCTGTTGCTGCTGCTGCTGTTGCTGCTGCTCGAGTTTGTTTAAAGGCATTGCTGGATCCTGGCGATAATGCAGCAATTGCAACATTGTKGCTGGCGGCGGCGGCGGCAATTTGACATTCAAGGCAGCAGGAGGAGGCGTGGCTTTTAGGTTAGCATAAGCATTGTTGCTGTTGCCAGTGCTGCTGCTGCTGCTGCGTTTGAGCAATCCATTCACTGGCTCAATGACTCGATATTGTTGAATGTGTTGTTGTTGTTGTTGTTGTAGTTGTTGCTGCTGCAATTGCACCTGCTGTTGCTGTTGCTGCTGCTTTTGTACTATGCTCTGTGCTAGATTTACTTTTGCATCGCCCAACTGCTGGCTGCTGTTGTTGTTGTTGCTGCTGCTGTTGCTGTTGTTGCTGCTACTATTGTTGTTGTTGGCGTTGTTGAAGCTGCGCGAACGATTCAATTGCTTGGGATATTTCTTCTGCAGCAATATTTCCTTATTCTCCACAATGGCTTCGTTCTGTGAGATCAATTTCGAAATGTGTTCCTGCACCTTTTCCACATTCTAAGAGAGAGAGAGAGATGGGGAGAGAGGGTGGTTTAGTAAGTTGCAGAATTTGGTTGTAGACTCTAATATACGCACCACTTGCATGCCACTGGCAAAGCTGCTCAAATTGCCTACAGGTGTGGGCGTGGCAGGTGCTGCTGCTGCTGTTGCCTGTTGACTATTAGTGCGAGGCAGCTGCTAGGAGGGAGAGAGAGAGTAGACAATTAGTCACAGCTCAAGAGAGAGAAGGAGCATGCAAAGTSTTTACCTGCTGCTGCTGCTGGGGCTGAGGCAGCAACTGTTGCTGCGGCTGCGGTTGCTGCTGCTGTTGTTGCTGTGGCAGCAACTGTTGCTGTTGCGGCTGTGCTGGCGCCTTGAGCAGTGGCGAGTGTTGCTGTTGCTGCTGCTGCAGATGTTGTTGCTGATGCTGCTGCAACTGATAATGTTGCTGATACTGCAGCGCCAACGCATGCTGATGCATTGCCGCCGTGGGGTTGTAATATGGCGCCTGCCCCAAGTAGTAAGTGGGCAGTGGAGGTGGCGGCAGGGCGACAGCATTGCCCGCAGCAGCAGCTGCTGCCAGCAGCAACTGTTGCTGCTGCTGCTGGAGCTGCTGATGTTGTTGCAGCTGCAGCTGCTGCTGATGCGAGTTGATGTGCAGATTCAGCTTCAGCTGCGTGCTGGGCGAGAGCGTGGGATGCACGAGCAGAGGCTGCGGCAACTTCTGTTGCTGTTGCTGTAGCAGCAACGGCTGCTGCTGCTGCTGCTGGTGTTGCTGCTGTTGCTGTTGCTGCTGTTGCTGCTGCTGCTGCTGCTGCTGCTGTTGCTCCTTGCTGCTGCCTGGCGCATAGAGCGCTGCATTGTGAAATTTTGGCTTGTATGGCTTGTAGTCAATCGACTGTCGATGCTGCGCGGTCGCCGAGTGCAAATTCTCGACTGTTGCCGGCGGCAATGTGCCAGCAGCAGGCGAGCCCAGCGGCAACTGTTGCATGTGCTGCGGCAGTGGGGGCTGTTGCAGGTACGCGCTCTTCGCCGCCGACAGCGTAGAGGGCGAGGGCGTCGGCGAGGCCATCGACTGCTCATCATATGGCGAATCGGCGCTACTTAGCTGCAAAGAGAAGAGGTTGCTCGGTGAATGTGCGACGAATTGGTGGAGTTTTAGAAAATATTCTACAAAAATCTTGCAATTCACTATACAGTTCTATATTTCATCTAGTTTTCAGTAAGTTAGCTACTCTGTCAAATTTAGTTGTCTCGCTGTGCTCTGTGATCAGCTTCAATCGATTGATTGATCAACCAGCTCAATTTTCTTACAGATATTAATGTTAACTTTTGTCCAGTGCCGACACTTCTCTTAACATGCTGTTAACATTTCTAACATTTCTGCTTATCTTAACATACTGTCAACTTATCAACGGATGCTTACAATTTCCACACTCAACAGCTCCGAGCTGCTGTTGCTGAGATCTCCGTCGCCATCCTGGTCGGACAGTCCATCCGCCTCGTGGGCCGGCACGTCCAGGCCGCGCATGCGCGCCGTGTGCGAGCGGGAGCGGCAATGCTTGTAGAAGTTGCTTTTCGTCTTGAAGGCAATGCCGCATGTCTCGCAGGGGTACGGCCGCTCGTTCGTGTGGGCGCGGATGTGCTTCTGCAGGACCGAGGGCTTGGCACAAATCAGATTGCAATACGGGCAGACGTAGCGGCTGAGGCCAGTTGCTGGCGTGACTGTTGCTGCTGTGGCAGATGCGACCGATGTTGCTGCTGGCATGGCAGAGGTTGCAGTTGTTGCTGGCATGGCAGCGGATGCGGCAGCTGCAAATGTTGCTGCTGGCTTGGCTGTTGCTGCTGGTGTGACTGTTGCTGCTGCTGTTGTCGTTGGCTGCGTCTGCTGCTGATGCTGTGCAAATGTGGCTGGCGACAATGTTGCATTGCTGGCATAGTTGCTGCTGCTGCTGCTGCTAATGTTGATGTTGCTGCTGTTGCTCAAAGGCGTACGCGTGCGTGGCACGCCAGCAACAGCAACAGCCGCATTTTTGCTATAGCTCTCGGTCTCATGACTGTTGCTGTTGCTGTTGCTGATGCTGTTGCTGTTGCTGTGCTCATGCCCATTGACCAGCGGCAATTGCGTTGGCGGCGACACTGAGCTGTTCGACGACAGCGACGTGGTGCGCAGTGTTGGTTCGTCTGGAGCTTCCGTTTCTGTGGTGCTGGCCAAACGTTTGAACTTCTTGTGCAAATAGCGCAAATTGTTCGAGCTGCTCTTCCAGTCAGCAATTGCTGTTGCTGTTGCTGCAGCAGCATCATTGTTGTTTGTGCTGCTGCCACTGCCACTGCTGATACTAATGTTATTGTTGTTGTTGTTGTTGCTGTTTGTGGTGGTGGTGGTGTTGCTGCTGTGCTGTAGCGTCATTTTGCTATCACTTACGTTCGCTTTATCTCTAGCCTTAAACTCATAATTATTTTCACTAATACTATTATCACTGTTGTTGTTGTTGTTGTTGTTACTTGTGTTGCTGCTGCTGCTGCTGTTGCTGTCAGCAATTTTAGCTGGCAATTCGCTTAAATTATCTCGTTTGCTTTTGTTGTTGTCAATTGCTGTTGCTTCGGTTGCTTCAGTTGCTTCAGTTGCTTCGTTTGCTTCACTTGTTGCTGTTGTTGCCTTGACTTTGTTGTTGTTGTTGTTTGTTTTCAGTGTTGTTGTTGTTGCTGTTGTTGCAGCAGTTGTATTGCTGCTGCGATATGTTTGCTTCTTAGTTGTTGCCGTTGCTGCTGTTGTTGTTGTCGTTGTTGCCTGTGCTGCGGCGGCCGCTGCTGCTGCTGCTGCTGCTGTTGCACGTCGCGTGTTGCTCACTTTGTTGTTGTTGCTATTATTAATGCTGTTGTTGTTGTTGTTAGTTTTGTATTGTTTGTTTGCTGTTTTGTAATGTTGCTTCGCTGTGTTTGTTGCTGTTGCCGTTGTTGTTGCTGCACTTTCCATAGTCTCATCGAATTTGCTCGCCTGCGATGTGTTTGCTGCTGTTGGCTCATCTGTTAACAACGAAATTATTGAAATATGAATTAGTTGTAAGAATCAATTGATTGCTTGATTAATTGATTGATGAAAGAGCAAATCAAAATCTTAACTATGAAAGCTAGTATGTTAAAAAGCCGTTGAACACATTTGATTGATTGATTGAAAGGTCAACGGCTTGATTGAAGAGTAACGCACTGTCCAAACCCCAAGAGTTCGAGTTCTGAAACTTGGCTAATAGACATAGTTAGATGAGAATTCTCAAGTGCCGGGCCAATTGATAAACTGATTGATTGAAAATATATTGATTGATTGATTACACGCAACCTTACAATTCAAACTTCGAATCAATATTGACTTAAAATGCTTCAAGTTCTCCCTGCACCAGGTAAAGCTCCTTCTAGCTTCTGCTGCCCTCATCTAAATATTTAATAGGGCTCGTCGAGGGTTACTTCCCTAGGACCCACATAAAAAATTTAAAATTGTGTGAATTTCAAATCTTTGCACCATATTTTGAAATTCCCTTCGGGTGGGTGTCGCAGGCAGAGGCACCTCTAGGCGGGCTGGGGCTGGGGCTGGCGGTGGAAGCCAGCCTAATACAAAAAAAGCTAAATGAGCGCTCAATCTTATCAGAGGCAGAGCTAGAGCTGATAAAGCGGATGGGCCAAAGTTTTACGTTGTCAAAAACGCGATATTATAAAAATGTATAAAAAAAAAAGCTTGAATATAAACAAGTGTTAAATATAAAAATTATTTTTTTTATTAACTTTCTATTTCGCATTTCAACCGCTTGAAGTTCACCTGTTGCCGCAGCAGAAAACGAAATCAAAATCAAAACAACAAATGCTACTTGGGTGTGAGTGAGAGGGAGGGAGATAGATAGATAGAGCACGCAGTGAAGTGCGCTGATTGTTGTTGTCGGCTGTCTTATCAGCTCCATAAATACCCTCAGCACACGCACACGCACACGCACGCATACACACACAGGCACTCTTAAGTGCATGTAAGCTTTATGTGTGCTAGTGTAACAAGGCAAAGAGAGCGGCAGAGAGAGCGCGTGGTACTCACACACACACACGCACACACATATAAAAATTCCCTTTTGATATGTCTTTTTCCATGCCTTTATCAACAAGCCATAAATATAAAAATAAATAATATAGCAAAAAAAAAGTGTCCAAAAATTCCATTGATAACGTTTGGATTGTTGTTTATCAGCTAAACATTTGTGAAACTCATTTTCAATATATTTATTAGTTGGTCGATTCACCTGACTCACAAATCAGACAAATTGTCCGATAAACGGCATAACCTCCCCATTCCACCTGCCTCTTGTATATAAATATATACATATATGTATGTATGTATATTCGTAGACCCATCGACGACACCTTTGACGTCAGCCGCGGCTGTCGTTGGCAATTAAGCGGCATTACGGAAGAGATTAGTGGGCAACGTTAAGAAAATACTCGCATAGCTCACGCTATGACGCCGATTAGTTATCGTATTAAATAGTAGTAATTACCTAACCTCACATTGTGAATGTGTGTGTGTGTCGMTTAGGCGGAGGAGTGCCACATAGGAATTTCCCATCAGCAGAATTTTTGCAGGGACTAAATGTAATACAATCTTCCAATTGGAATTGCGCGCAAGGGTATTTTTTGCATGCGCTGCACACATACACACATTCATATGATCAGGTTAGAGGCGCCACAAGGATTTCCCATTAAGGGAATTTGTCTCTCTCACTCATGATAAACACGCACGTACATATGAAAAAGGAATTATAATTCACATACAGGCACACACACTCATGATCGCATTACAGTTATGTAATACTCATTATTATTGATCAATAGCTTAGCTAAATTGCTTTTCATACAGCCCTCACTTAATAGTAGGGCTTTCCTTTTGTTTAAACATAGCGATAAGTGTAATCAACAATAACAGCTAATAAGACAGCTCTACACACCAGTTTTTCTATATTTACTTTAAGAGAATAGAGCAAGAGGAAGAGGGAGAGAGAGAGAGAGAGAGCAGAAAAGAAACAAATATTTAAATGACTTTATTATCACGACTTTGACTTTGTTTAACGATTCCGTTGTTGGCTTTTATTATTAGGCGTTTAGCTCTAAAGCTAAGGTTGCTCAAAGAAAACACGCATACATACATGTACATACATATGTACATACATATTTATATACACATTAATATAGCATATACATTCATATGTATGCATTGGCATTTACATTTGCTCAGCGTGCAAAGTGCAATTCGCAAGTAAATAGCGGATTATCAAGTGCCTGGTCACACTCACAGTGATAGCCGCCGAGCGACGTCACATGAGAGCCGTTTAATGTAAACACTCGCTGATTGACGACCTCTCACTCACTCMCTCACGCGTGCCCCAATCACACACACCCACACACACACCCACATTCATACACGTATACGAATGCAATAAGCGAAAAGGAACGCGCTATTCGCGGCGCCTCAGTCTGTCTGTCGGACTGTCAATAAAATTTAGTTGTACGTCATTTGCAGCTTCAAAAAAACAAAGGTGTAAAAGAGAAAGAGAGAGCCAAGCTTGGTCACTTAACAATTGTTAATAATTTATTAGCAGCCCAAATGTGTGTACTCACAGCAAAAGTATAAACACGTAAAATTCACGGAAATGATACGGAATTCCAATGAAGACGAAGCTTCTGATAAAAAACGGCAAAGAAAAGGAAATGACAACTAACAACAGCACAAATGAAACGATGAGCACACAAACACAAACACATAAACACATACACACATATGCACACTCACACTCGCTCATTTAATTTGCATTAAATATGAATAGTGCAATACGCAATAGCTCGTACCTGTGACTCAGTCGTGCGCTCTCTTTCTTTTACGCGCTCTGATTAGCAATATCGATAGGCAAGGCTATCGATAGGTTTCATCAATATTTCAGTTGAGTGCCAAAGACTTGAGAATCGAGACCGAAATTATAACAACAAGCGAATTGCGTGCATCGAGTCAAGGCGCTCGCGACAACGAAACGGCGACCAGCGAGCATGAAACAGTTAAAGACAACTAGACGAGGCAAGCTGAAAAATTCATTCAAAGACCAGAGCCCAAGCAGCAACAGCAGCAGCTACAGCTACAAAAACAGCAACAGAAACGGCAACAACAAAAACCAGACAAATCACTGTGTGTGCGCGAGAGTGTGCAAAAGAAAACGAAGAAGCGTCGCGACGCAACGCAAAGCGACGCGACTAACTGGCAAAAGAGTAGCGCGAAAACAAAAGCACAAGCATACACACGCACATACACCCATAGACACATTCGCACACACTCACTTGAAAGCCCAAAGACAGGCAGCGGCAGAGTGTAGAAATGAGTAAAAACCGTACAATAATCAAAAAATTGAGCACGCCAGGAAAAGGCACACTGGCACAAGGCAAAAGCAGAAAGGGGCGAGGGAGAACGAAAAGCAACGATAGCGAAACGTCAACGTCGCCGCATACCGCAATATTCGCCAATTCGCCGTCCCGCACACTGTTGCAATTGTCAATCAAAAGTAAGCACAGGGTCGCCTACTGCTGCCTCTGCCGCGGCTGCTGCTGCTGCTGAGAAATGATCAAATCAAGCAAAAACGTAGCTCCCCAACAACAACAACAGCAGCAACAACAACAGGTGACGCGAAGTGGGGGAACACAATACGACGGCTGTCGCCAGCCTGTACCCGCGCTATTGTTGATTACGTACACACAAACACATACATGCAAACATGCATAAACACGCGCACCCATACATGCACAGGCCCCCAGCAATAAATGTGTATATATGCGAATTTTTGCTGACTAAGGAAGGTCTGGGGAGCACCAGCAGCAGCAGCAACGGCAACGATAACAACAAAACCATTTAAAACGTAGAAGCACAGCACAAAACGTAGCAGTGAAAAAAATGATAATAAAATAATAATTGCTACACACACACGCACGCATGCATACATACATACTAACATATGTATGTACGTGCGCAGCGATCGACTGAGAGCGAGAGCGCCAAACAGCTAGAGTTGCCGCAGCTGTCTACACACACGAAGACCGAGGCTCTTCTCTTTGCACTCCCAGTCAAATAGCCAGCCAGCTAGCCAGCCATTACACACGAGTGAAGCACGAGCAGCCATGTGGCGACGAGCATGAATATATATATATATATTGATATGTATGTGTGTGAGTATTTAGCCTGTTTTCAATACTAACCCCCACTCATCTATGTCTATGTATATGTATATACAATATGCATGTACACACAAGCTACATGACTAATCCAAACAACTTGACAACACTGTCGCCGCCGCCACCGCCGTCGTCGCTGTCGCCGTCGCAGTCGTTGGCGTCGCTGACGCTGACGCTGCCTGCGCTTTGCTTTTGTGTATTATATTGAGTCAATTCACAAGAAACGAGGAAACCCGCCGTCGTCGTCGTCGTCGTCGTCGTCGTCGTCGTCGTCGTCGTCGACGACGTTGTTATTGCTTGAATTTTGTTTATATTTATGAGAGAGTGAGTGTATGTGTGGGCATATGTGCGCTTGGTTGTATGCCTGTGTGTGTATGTGTGCATGTGTAGTAGCTCTGTATGTCAGTCAGGCCGTGTGTGAGCGAGCATGAATCAAGCTGAAAAATTTTAATAATTTTGCTCGTGTTGTTGTTGTAGCTCGACAGCAAACGAGTTTAGCTTGTTGCTCGCGTGTATATGTGACTGTTCATGTGTATGTGTGAGTGAGTTCACTGCTGGGCTTGGGTCTGGCCTGTGCTTTGGGCAGTGCTACTTGTATTTTTTTTATTCAGCGACACACGATAATATGACGACACCAATACGAATGCAATTGGGCACTTGGAGCTTTCTAGAGCGCTTGATAAGCACTTTTTTTTTTGCTTAGTCTCTGCTGTTGCTCTCTCTTCCTCCCTCTCTCTCTCTCTCTCTGTCGTTCTCTCTCTGTGCTCTATGACGTACTCGTT